ACTTATGTATTTGAATGAATAAAAATATTATTTTGGTACGCCTCTGCAGAGTTGGTAAGAGGATTATCCGTTGGTCACTTCAAGTGCGACGTTGCTAATGAATCACCTTCAATTGAAAATTGTTATAGTATAGGGAACATCCACTTGAAGGTGATTTTAAACTCCTCCTAAAGAAGTAGACTATAGATATCTTCTTATTCAAGACTTTAGGGGATGAAACCGAGTTAGATTGATCAAAAGGGTGAAACAGTCCCAATTATTGTATGTTTTTGTGAATTATAACAAAACCCCTTCAAATGTTCGTAAACATCCCCCCGAATACGGAATTCACAAAAATCATTTCGAACCTATTATCGATATTTCGAGTGTGTAAACATGATCTACATTCGTTTATGTATTCATCAGATGAGAATGGCGCCACGTCAAATTGATAACATTTTTCTGTTATGAGACACGATGTTAACTCAAAACGTGCCGCGTACGGCCTTCCATTGTTCAATTGTTTCACAAGTTTACCTAACGATTGACCTAAACAGAGGAATAAACGCAAAATGTACAATAATTTGAACATACCTCTAACTGTTTTTTTGATGCACACCCTATTAGTTAGGTTACTATAAAAATAACGCTAATTCTACGTTTTTCAAAAAATCAACCTACAAAAATATTGTTGTTTTGACCAACGATTATTTTATCGTGAGTATGAATACTTAAGACACCCAAGCATTATATTAACTCTTGTGAAAATATAGGATAACAAAAATAACTGGCAAGATGTACTGTGGACAAGACAAGATTTATTCTGACTGCACAAAGTTTAAAATGTAATGAATGTGATTCTACAAATACAATATTTCACCTAGGTAGTTAGAGAGGGGGTTCAGCTTGATCATTGCAGGGACAGAAAGAGGTTCAGATTAACATAGGTAGGAAAAGGTCATAATAGCGGGTGAGTCCCAAGATAAGGGACACAAGGAAATATACTAAAAAACTGCGGAATATTATGGCAACAAAATAGAAATATCTGAAAACCGACAGAGAGCCACGTGGAACATAATAAATGATTATACAGGAAAAAATAAAAACATAAAAAAGAAGGATATCCTCCTTGAAATAAATGGTGTCTTGTTAACCGATAATTCGCAAGTTTGCTACCAACTTTGCGAAGGTAGCGTCTGAAAATCGGTCAAGCTACGTAGGTCAGAATATGTCACTACCACATACCGTCGCTGATTTCAATGAAAACTCTATTTTCTTCGAGGAAGTGTTAGAATCTGAGATACTAAGGACGATGAATAGTTTAAAAAATAAATCATCGAGTGGATTTGATGATATAACAGTGAAAGCTCTGAAATAGCTTATCTTATATAGATCTTTCCTTACCGTTTTCGTTGATTATTGACATTCGCTCGTAAGTAACGATACACTTTGCACTATTCATTAGCACTCACATTTAAAACTACGGTGACATTTCCCAGCTTGTAGGTATGTTCATCACATCTAGTTACTGCCGAACAGCAGTGATAATTACAGCAATCACAAACGATCATTAGAACGGCTGTGTAAAACAATGAATTATTATAGAAAATGCGCAACTTAACTTCAGCCGACTGACATCTAACGTTCGACGTAATATAATGTATTCACAGCTAGTATTTCATACTAATTCAGTTCGAGTACAGGTTCGCACCAAAACGTTTTGTGCGATGACGAAATGTATCACTTCTGTGTGTATAAAAGTGATTGAAAATGTTTGTCGATGAATGTTACAAGTTCGAAATTCTATTGTCTCAAAAGGTGTCAGCAGATTCGAAATCTATGAAAGAACAAATGTTAATAAAAATAATCGGACTGAAATATTTGGCCTGTATATTTTGTCATAATGCGCATTATTTTTTTCGACAGAAAATGTATTTTTATTCTCTACGGCGAACATATGCAATACATAAAAAAACTATCCTCTTCTTCATAAAATATTGGAGTACAATATTGTGTAAAACAAGACTCTTGTACTTCCTGGACATAATAGCGCCATCTGGAAGCTGGGACCAAAATTAGGAAAAAGAAGAAGAAGGAATGAATATTAAAGCAGTACTTATTCAGGTAACACTCAATTGTGAGATTTCCACAGTTTATAAAATCGCGACACGTGTTTCGGTATACAATAACTTCCTCAAGCGTTTAAATACTAAAATCTACTTAATATGTGCTTTTTATTGCCGTTCCAATTGGGAATGGATAGACTATACTTGAACGAACTGAATACCTCAAGCTCTGATGATATCATCACTTCAAAATACGAGAAGTATACTATAAGGATTTATTTCAATGGCGTTGAATATTCTTCAAAATTTTCAGTCAGTTGTTTTTTCAATTCATTTCAAAGTTCCAAATGCTCTCAAGTCAGTAGAATTGAAATTAAAATTTGAAGTACAAAACAAGACCTCTCTTCTGTAGAATTTGGCTTATTTGAAGTCGTCTCAACTGCCAACAATTTTATTCTGGAATCGATAAATGTTTTATGCCAAATCTTTATCAAGTGGACACCGAAATCCAGTTGACTTCAATTAAACACTATTCAATTTCGAATTATATGAATCGGCAGATGTCCAGATAGTGAACAGATCAAGCATTCATTAGATTAAAATGAGCGTTAGTAGGCTGCTATTCATGGTAGTTTGAAAATTAATCAGTAGGCTAATTTTTAATAAGTCAAATCAAAATACTTTTATTGACGGGTGTTACTTTATTTCACAATAGACAGTTTCGCTTCCTTCGCCTTTCCTACGCAGACTAACTCGCAGTTGCGCCGCTAGCCTTTTTATATGCAAGTATTACTGCCATCTCGAGGTGATCGGAATGCACTAGCTATAACCAGAACTTTCTTGAACCAACGCGGTAATTCCAAATATTTAATTACGCCTAATGCCACCTAGCGGGTAGCTGAAAGAGATAGTACATAGTACCACTTCTCGCAACTAGATGTCGTTAAGTGTCACAATACACAATGATAATTGAAATGCAAAAAAGCGTATGTTTGCTTAGGTCACGCACTTTGCGACTATCCTAGTCTAGAAATATAGTTAAGGGCAGAAATTGGCCCTTGGAACAAACTAAAAAAATCATTATGGCCCGAAAACAAATTTTGGAGACCCCTGCAATGGAAGTCCGAACAAATGGAATTGAAAATGTTTCATCAAAAATATATTCAAAAAATAAAAATGGGTTTTTCCTTTAGTTGTCCTCCTACAAACGATAACCCTCTGAAGTCTGAACTTATATGAGCTAAGGATTATCAAGGTCTTACATTTCAACGTGCAGTCTTAGCACATAAGTCATTCGATATTTATTGCTATAAAACTCACTGAATTTTTTTCTCATCAAACAGTTTTATTGAAAGTAATACAAATTATGAAATAACAACAAAAATTAAATAGCGCTCCGGGGCGACTTCATTGATTCCAGTGGCGCATTTGCTTTTTCAGCTGCAGGAAAAACCGGTAGCACCACATTATCTGAAGATCTTGATCCGCTAATGTCCTCTCTTCCATAGAATAAAATGTAAGGTGTCTCCAGAGGCTCCAATGAATATGTTTTGGATTTCTATGCATTCTTACAAGTGTGATGTGTTTTTGAAGGCAGTATATTTGTACCTACTCAATTATAGATTGATTATCGTCATCAGTCATATCATTTTGTTTCAGTTTCATCAGATGCCAACGATTCTTTTAACTGAATGATTTTCTTAAAAAAAACTATTTTCGTCAGATGAACATCTTGATGGGAAAGAAATGTTTTGGCTTTCTACTTCTTCATCTTTATACAAAAAACGGAGAAAGTAATCAATTTCAAAATAAACTCATTACAAAGATGTGTAGATCATGCAAAGAAGTAACATTCAGACACGAACTGGACGAAAAAACCCTCTTGAAACAACTACTTTCATTTACCATTGAATTACAAGAAAAAAATACCTCTTTTATATACTACTACACTACATGGGCTTGAGAAGTCTCGGAACTAACACATAGATGGCGGTAGTTTTATTGCATTCACCGCTTTTTCAGTTAGTCCTAACCTTCAAAAGAAAGCTGTTGAGATTGCATATTCTTCTCATGTTTGTGAGTGCACAACCTTTTCCTCCGTGTAATTCAACAAATGTTGTTGATAGGGCTTTTTCTTCCAGTTTCTGTCTGGGAGATACTTCTCTTGCATAATCTGCACATCTTTAATTTGAAATCAATTCCTTCATTCCACATTTTTTGCTATAAAGATGGAGAAGTAGAAAGCTAAAACCATCCTTTCCCAAAAATCATCTCTCCTCAAAATATACCTACCCCTTTCAATTGAAACATCTTGATAATCTTATATCTTAATAATAAACTACCTAGACCGATTTAGAATTTTGTAAAACATTACCATAGTTGATTCAAGATTTTATTTAATTTTTTATTCAATTTGTAAATTTTTCTTGAAAAATTTCAACTCATCAGAAAATGTCAACTTTTATTATTCAATTGATCAAGTGTAAAACTTGAGCATTTATTCTTAGGAACACCTAAGGTGATTTATGTTTTTCCGAGACGTTTCGAACAAGAGTTTTTAGTTTAATTTATATGTGTTGGCATTACTAAAATTTGATTCAATTCAATACATAATATTTTACTACAATATCCCAATAACTTGTTCATCAAAATATGTGAAAATTTTCGGTAATACACTGTTCCAATTAGATAGCTGAAAATGTTCTTTGTTTTACCAGTGCTTTCATTCCAGCTATTTTCATTCCATATATATTTTCTTGCATATTTCTCCAATACATAATTTTTATTCAAAATGGCATAGGAGCTTTGACACGTCAGTAATGCAATCTTGATCATTTAGGCGAGCAAGGGTGACACCCATTCCATTCTTCTCGCTAATTCATCCACAAAGGAATACCCAAGCCTGCAGTGATTATAGACTGGCCCGCCCATCGTTCAAAAGAAATAAAACAACTCTTGTAATACAGCTATTTTACTATGAAAAAAATTACAATATTCATTTCGATTAAAATACAAAATATACAACTAATATAAAAAGTTCAAGGTAATTAAAACTGTACATTATCACAGTAAGGCAAGACACACCTTGCAGATATTGATTAAAATGGCAATTATTAACTATTTAGCTCGGGGAAATATAAAATGAAGTTGCCTATACAGTGAAGTGAGATTTGATTTTTCTTGAAGTGAGTTCACTTGAACTAGGAATTTTTGTTCTTGTTTTTTTAGAGCAACAATTTGAATAATGTACCGTACCATACATTCACTTTCTGTTTGTTATTAATCTCTAAAGAAACAATGAGTTGCACGATGTCGTGCAATATTCCAGTGCAAGATACTTCTTTTCAATTATGTGGCGTATCTATTGATCTAATAATTCGCACAGATCAAAACTTGTTAAATTTTTTCACAATGAAAATATTACTTGCACATTGTATGCTCTCTGCAGTTGGCAAAACATCAACTGAATATTTTGCTGAATATGCGGTAAGCATTACTGTCAATGCTGGATTTGGGCTTTAAAGGTAATGTATGCCACAGAACACGTAATGTTCTTCGATCTTCGATTCAAAAATGAAATTATCAAACCACATGACAAAAAAGACTTCAGCTGTTATCTGCTGAAAGTATAACTCCCCTCCCTCTCTCTCTCTCAGTATAAAATTCCATCTTTTCATTAATCAGTCGTTGTCCACTTTGAACGATGATCCTCAGAAGAATTAGAGTAAAGAATAATCTTTCAGTATGTTATTCACTACGAAAAAGCTACTGTGATAGTGAAACGTGTCGTGATATTTTTCAAAATAAAGTTTGTGAAGATCAAATCATTAAGTGTAGTTTGTGATATGAGAAAGGAAAGATAGGGGACAGGCACCAAAGAGATGTTTATGAAATCACAACGATATTAAAAGAATGCAGATTTAAAAAATCCACGCAGGTCTGTACAGAGAAAGGACTAGGGAAAGATATCCCACAGTTCCTTCACTAAAATATACAGTGAAGTACATTAATGCATTTTCTACGCCAAACGAATATTATGTTTGAATTAAAGCTACTCTACAAATAAATTTTCTATTGAAGAAAGAATGAATTTTTCAGGTTGAGGTAGTTCTTTGACGACCTCCCATAGAGAATGAAACAAAATTAATACCTTTCAGAATACAGCAGTGAGACAATATTAGAAGTATAAGAAATGTAAGGTAGAGGAAAAGTCAATATTGTCTGAATGACAAGGACCGTGTTACATGCTTTCATTGAATACATCTTTGGAGAATATCTAAAAATTTTTGTTTTGGTGACGTTTTCTAGGGAAGAAGGGTTCCATTTGTATTTTGGCTGAGAGTGAAACTCTTGTCTTTCTATTCATTGAATCCTAGAAATCTTCAGCTAGATACCTTACAATCCTGACTCATAATTTAATAAAAACTGGTTTTGGAGTATGAAAATGTGAATCTTTTGGCTTTCTCAAATGGATTTCAGATCTTAGGATTATGACAGAATACTGCATGTTATGAACCAATGCACCATCATTACCTCCATGAGATGGAAAAGAAACATAAGATTTTTTAAAAGAAGATTCATTATACTCCAACTGAGCCATAGATAATTATTAGAGGTGAAGTTGTGAAGCTTTTCGAATGACTTGCAGGTGATATTTCAAATTGTTGTCTAGGGGTAGCTAATCGTTATAATATTAATAGTGACAATATTTGATACGCAAATAATAGTTGGACCATATGCGTTGATGCAAAACTCGCATTGCAAAACCAATGTACATGCGCAAATTCGATTGTGTGTATTACAAAACTGATATATCTGGCACCGCATGAGGTTCATTCACTGATTTTGATTTTGTGTAATGCGTGTTATGCAAACTTGTTCGTTTTTAGGACGAGGTGAACATTTCAGTTTCTGATCTTGGTTTAGGAGGCTAGATTGTTATTGGGTTACCAATTTCGCCAAAATATGCTCATGTGCAAATTGATCTCACCACTCACTTCTAAACTTACACTGCTGAAATTGACCAATAAATCTGAACCATGTATTTCCAAACTGTAATTTTTACTCTCGCAAGCATGCCTCAGCTTTGCATCACATGTATGGGACGATATACACCGATAGCTGAATTTAACGTGAACCCACTTTTCATCTTAAGTATTTTCATTTATTCAATCACCCCTCTAAAACTTTGTTGACGGTCCAGCCTCTATATCGAACGCCTCTTTAGGCGTACTAGGCAACGGCCTCGAACCAGTGGACCCGTTTGATTTCATAGTGTCTTTACTGTCTCGCCTTTCGGTTCGTTCACCCCCGTCCTTTAAAAAATCGTACAAATTAGATATAGGCTTGGCATCCGACGGTTCGGAATACACTCCCATCATGGACACCTTAGCTTTGCTTGACTCCCCATCGTCGGCTTGCTGATTCACTTTCTCCTCTATCAACCTGAGGATGCTTCTCGGACCGTTCGCGACCTCCTTATCCTCCTCGTACGGTGGTGGAGGGATCTGCAAGTTGAGATTACCGAGTTCCTCGTAGAGATGCGCTTCCTCCTCTTGCCGATTGTTGTTCTCGTAGCCATCGTCTACGATGAACATGTCGTAGAGCCGCTCGATCATCTCGGCGGCTTCTTGGTGCGTGTTGGGATCGTCCAAACGCACAGACAGCACCTGTAGAAACTCCATGGTCAGATCTTCGGGGATTTTCAGCCGCTCATTGTTGTCGTCCAGAGTAACGATGGTGCCTTCGTCGTCGTTGCTTAATTCGTTGTTGGCGTAGTGCATGTTACGGAAGTAGCCGTTTTCTTTCAGCCACCGGCCCCCGCGCACCAGCAAGATTATGAAGGTGACGAGGATGGCAAGAATGAACAGGCTCACCACCGTTATCATGAATATCAGCCAGCTCTGCTTAGCCGAATCGTCCTCTGGCAGGAATATCTTGCTCGTGGTGTCCACGACCCTTGTCTTGCCTTCGTAGGGTTCGCAAACGGTGAAGTTGACGCAGGTTTTCTCGGTGAAGTTTTGTATGTTGATGATCCCCACGGGCAGCGAGAAACACCTCGATAAGAATTCGTCGACAGGACAGAAGCTGGTGTCCATGACCAGTTTCACTTTCTGCGAGTTGTTTGTGATGCTCTCCACCCATTCGTCGATGGAACAGTTGCAGGACTGGTTGAAAAAGTTGTCGTCGAAGATGATAAACTTGTCGTCGAGTTGAGATAGGAAAGAGAGGGCGTCTTCGTCGGTATTGTATATTTCGTTGCCTTTGAAGGAGAGTTTTTCGTTTTCCGGTCCGGCAGATGCTTCTACGAAGTTGGGGTAAAGGCGTTTGATGATGTTGTCGTCTATGTTTATTTTGTTCCAGTTGTTGAAGACGGCGCCGCGGGTGTTGAAGTTGAATATTTGGTTTCCTATTATTTCGACTTTGGCGACCGTGGTCATTATGGCTCTTGGCTCGATATCTGTGATTCTGAAATGATAATGAATAAATTAATTAAAAAAAAATGTTTTTTAGAGTTAATTTATGAGTTAAGCATGCCATTCCCCTTGCAAAGAGGCTATTTATGGGATTGACAGAAGACAACCACGAATATCTAAACGAGGCTTCCAAAAGCTGTTCGTTGCTTTCAATACTAGGCAACTAGTTGAAACCAAATCACAAAAAATCTATGACTCAACATCATGCACTCAACATGCTATTAGTGGTGCTAGGCTGGACCATTTATATGCATTGTTGGATTCAACTGTTCTTAAGATCATACCAGCTATGACAGGTTGAAACAAGCATGTTTGGTGTTGAATCATGAATGCTTTGTTATTGGGTCCTGGTTCCAAAACATAGAGTCTCTAAGAAGTCATGAATCAAAACAAAAAGAAGGCGATACTATGGGTCACTTGCAATCTCAAAGTGATAATCCATTTTTATAGCATTTTTGTGTTTTTGCCGAAAAATGGTCCATTTTATTGGTGAGAAGCTGTCGGTATTTTGTACCACATAATATATCATGTAAGAAAGGTCATTTATGAATAATCTTTATATAAAAAAAAATGCAGAGCAAACATACTAGATAATGAAATTTCATTTGAAAAAAAGAACTCTATTAGGTTCAGCTTCTCCATTTTTTTTGAAACTGCATTTCTCAAATTCAATCCTTTTTTTTCATGAAGAAATTCTGACCCATAAGACTAGAATCTGGAGAACCAAACCAGTAAAACACTTCTCTAAAAAAGAAATGTCTCAAGAATTCATGCGATGTTTTAGGACATCAAGGGATCTGTCTTGTGATGTTTGAATCTCTAATCAGGCAAGGCATTTAAAGGTGTTCAGGTCTATACAAATAATGTTCCAGCAGATGGCTGTTTTCTGGATAGAATCTAGTAGCTTCAAGGAAAATCGAATCTAAGTTTTATAAGACATATTATGTTACTGAGGTGTATTCAAATTATGTTCCAAGTTTTGAGAAGTTGGTTTGGTGTTCTAGCAACGTGGTTGTACCAAGACACATCAGTATCCAATTTGATGAACAATAAATTAAACTTCGCAGCTAGAGGAATTGTGTACCTTGATATTTTCTGGTTGCTACGTGTACCTTCTGGGAGAAAATTCATGCTTGAAGTTTTCAGCATGAAATTCTACTTGTTAATATCAACACAAGTTGAAATTTCCTCCAAATCTCCATTAAGAAGTGAAACTTATTGTTGGCAAAGATGTGCACTGACATCTGATGTTCAGGCATATACATGGAAAGAAGAGACAAGTAATGTTAGGTGTCCTAAAACATCGAGTGTCTATAATAGAGTCTATAATATAGAGAAAAAGAGGTACAATATCAATCTTGTGGAGACAAACAAGCATCATGTGTTATTTGAAACTGAAGGAGACTGAATAATTGTATGCAAAAAAAGCTTTAAGTGAGCTAAGGTTATCCAGAATTATTTTCACTTCTAGGAACTAATTGTGGAGCCCCTTTTCCAATAATTCGAACGAACAGAAATTGAAATCGGTATTTATATTTTCTTATTTGGTTTTTAAATTATTGTTACCAACAATCTATGTAGACTTACATGGAATGGCTCAACGTGAAATTCCCGACCGCAGCCATAATTGACCTGGTCTGTAGCTTGGATATGTTACATTTGCTGATTTTGAAGTCGCATATCAAGGTTCTGCCCGTAAAGGCTCCCTCATGAATTCGATTCAAAACCGTACCGACGATGGATATGGAGGATATTTCGGCAGCTTTGAAGGCGTCCGTGTGTATGTCTCCGATGACGGAATTGTGGAACGAAACGCTTGCAAGCGGTTTCAGGAACACTTCTCGAGGTATTTCTGGTATGGTTACGTTGTCGAAAATGATCTGAAACATTGGAGCGTATATGTTAGATATTGAACTGACTTCAACAGATAAATTATTAGTTAAAGTGTAAGAAAAATGTTTTGTATTGGAGATTGGCGGACGAAACGTAAGAAATCTGATAGGAACAAAAAATACTTGAAAAAATCGAAAAACCTCTTCTTTTATCAACATCCACACACAGGTAGGTTCTGCTCATATTTCAACTCATACATGATAGGAAATTAAAATATTACATAGTTTATCCATGTAGAATTATTGATTTTTGATGGTAATCCTTTTATTTTACCAGAAGAGTATATTATATATCAGTATTCTGTGGTGAAAAAAAACTATGAAACCTTACTGAAATATCAAAATGTTTCCTTCCAACACCTAGTCATGGGTAAACAATCACTTAGATATTAAAAAACAAAATGTAAAATAATAAAAAATATTGCACAAACAAACCATTTCACAAAAGACTAACAATATCGTAAATCTACAACAAGAATTCTACAAAAGATTAACAACTAACATTCCCTTCTTATACAGTGCATTTCTTTAATGTTCCCCCCCTTTTATTTTTTGAACGGGTCAACTAAAAAAATTGAAATTTGGGATAGTGAAATTAATGCACGAATACTTTATTTTGAAGTGGAATTGACAGATGAAACTTTCAAGATGGCGACTGGATGCCATCTGGGAAAAAAATCAAGTGGAAAGGGGGGTCTTGTGACACTCTTTTTGAAGCTCCTGACAAATGCTTCACAACCCTAGAATATAATGTCAATATCTTCAACTACTACAAAATGGCGGAACTTTTAATAATTGCCTGAATAAAGTATTCATGCATTAATTTCATCAACCCAAATTTCAATTTTTTGAGTTGACCTGTTCAAAAAATAAAAGGGAGGGGAATTAAAGAAATACACTGTAGATTTAAGTTCAAAGAATTCATTTTGGAAATTGTCAGATGTGAGGAACTTCCAAAGAAAGGAGGGAAGCAATTTCATAAAGATTGAGAAGTAGAAAGCCAAAACCATTCTTTCCCAAAAAATCATTTAAAGTATTGTACAATATTTGTTTTCGGTTTAATTTTTTTGAGATTTCCTGAATATATTGTTGAATGGGTGTTTTGGACACTATTTTTAAAGGCAGATTTGGATGTTTCAGTTAATTTTAGATCAAATGAATCATGGCAGATAATAATTTACTATACACTTCATAATTTTATTTTGAAGTTTTTTAATTAGTTTCAATAATGAATTCACATATAGAAGTAATGAATAATCTAAAAAAAGAGTAAAGAAAATTTAAGTTAATGGTACAAAATAATGAATATACATTTTGATTATGCGCTGTTTGCGATGAATTAGCATCTGTAATGAGACTTGATATTTTGGCAGAGAGCACGAGTTCAATCACAAGTATGAAGTGTTACGTCTGAATTGAGAATTCTGAAAATTTACTGAAAGACCAAATAAAATTGTCTACTTCCCCTTTGTTGAATGTTTCTAATGTTTTCTAATGTGGAAATTGGTAACTACATAGTTGATACGTAAACTCAGATGGTTTTCATCTATTACATGTCTATTTGAATTGCTTTGTAAAGTTTCTTTTCTAATGTTTTATTTTTTTATTGGTTTATACCTAAACTTGGCTAACATTATTAGTCATCAGATGGTTCAAATCATTAAAGTATATGAAGCAGTAATAACTTTTAGTTATTATGAACACGCCTGTTCAGTGAAACAAGTGTTGCGGTTTTGTAAATTGTTCAATAAAACTCTCACGAGTGTTACTTGTGTTACTTGAATAATTTGTTAATTTCACAGTAAATGTCGCTTCTCGGACAAGTCAAAATATATGTAATGAAAGTAATCTATCATCAAAAACAAACATTCTTGCACTCACTAATAAAGAGGGTGCTGCAAGCATCTTCATTGGACCAGAACCTGTCATTAGCATCGCTTTAGGCTTTGCCAAACAAACATTGAACACCTGAATGGCAAGAAGATTTATGGACTTCTGGCAGAATCTTCCAGGATTGGCTCCAAGGTGTTTATTCACCCTTGAAAGCTTGATATCAAACAGTTGTTGGACTACAGTAGGGATGAAATACGATGTTCTAACAGGCCTTCTTACAGATCACCTTCATTTGAACCATCATATGCAGAGACTCGGACTGTCGAAAGACAGTGTTTGGAAAATGATGAAACAACAGAGCATATACTTTGTGCCTGCCCCGCTGGGGTCCGAATCAGGTTTTTTGAGTTCAGCAGAGTCGTACTCTTACCATCTGATCTGAAAGACCACTCACCATACAAACTAATCGGCTTCGTTAAGAAGCCGGGTTCATTTGGACGAGTGTGAATAGCTGTGAGCCACAATAAACCCTTGCGGGTTGCAGTGGAGGGTCGAATAGCGGGCTGACTTTATCTTGGAATTATTTACTCAAATTCGATTTTGACAATATTATCAGAAAGCGTTAGTTGATTCTTTCAAAACACTGACTTTTTTATTCTTCAATCAATGTCACATACGAATAAATTATATTGTAATATTACATTGCCCACTTTCAATGATTCAGGCCAAACCCATTTAAGGCTCGAACGAGATATTGAATCATCGAATATTCAGTCTTGCAAAATCAATAACTGCAATTTGGTATTCTTTGTCGGTAGGCTCATAGAGTTAATGACTATACGGCTGAACACGTTGCTCATACATAATGTACAGAAAGTCATTAATTACATAATGCCGATAACGGTGCAAAGTTATACTCGGTGTAACAGAATGTTAATCGATCACTTTTTTCAACTTGAATATTACGAAAGTGTCATTCAACTAGTTGCTAATCCAGAAACTGAACTTGTGGACGATGTAGACTACTTTTAAGATTATTTTTCTCAGAAACTACAATGCTCTTCACCGGAAGAATATTTTTTAATTGATACCCTGTTTTGCTTATTTCAAGTTCGTCTCAGCGTGTTTAGAGTTTGCCTAGATGGGGCGATTTACGCGCGATTCAAGTAGCGCGTGTTGGTTCGCGCGATTGTGAGTCGTTCTATCCAAATAGACTCGTTATGCGCGAGCCGGTCTTGATTGACATGCGGAAGAAGTTGTCATCGTTTCTCAAATTTGGATACAGGGTTGAAATATACTGTGAGACAGTCTTTAAATTTGTTGCTCCATATACCATATAATCCCTCTTCTTTTGCCATCGACGATAAGCAAGCCACACTACAACGCACATTTTGAATACTGACCTGAAATTCATGAACGGGCGGAAACAAGAAACGACTCTAACAAATGTTCCGTAAGCTTAATATTTAAGTCTTTTTTTTTATTTAATGAGAAATTTACAGTTGGTATTGTTTGAAATACTACTACTTCGCTTTTTTGATTTAGAGGAAATGATGTCCGAATTTAGTACCGTAACATTCTCAGGCGTATTTGCGAAATAGTGTTTATTCAATTTGGAGCAGATGATGTTCTTCGTGCAACCGTTAAAAACCTTCAGATACAATATAAGGATAACGGGAGTTTCGCAGAGTATTACTTGCTGTCACGCTTCGATCTGGTCATTAGTTTTCGACGAAATCAGCCCCTCTGATCTGTTCTTGGAGACGAGTACCTCTACAGTCATAACTTTCTCAATGTTGAGCGGCAGCGTGAGGAAAGACTTGAGTATTATCAGTAATATGATACCCGGCACTATATATATATATACTGGCAAAGTTGGTTCTTCTGGTTGGATATCCATTATTTTTTGATCCTATCAATTTCCACTCATCACTTGAATTATTGCCCTTAGCAGAGTCAACAGGAGGTTTTCCATTTTTGATGTAACATGCAACCAACTACATTAACCTCAACATTTGATCATTGAAACAATTCAAGAGAAACCCTGGAAACTCTTCCGCATCTTGTTGTCTCTCCTCGATCCAGTTTGTCCCCATGCTATGCTATAAATCCACGTCGTACCGAATAGGGTTCCCATGTTGTCAATAACTGCTTGGTCGTTCTTGGAATTTGTATCCACCCTTCTGTCTTTCGTCCTAATGTTGGAAGGTGAGTAGTCAAACTGCCTTTAATTTGAATTCCAATTTTTTTTTGTTTTGATTTGTTCAAAAATGTAATACTTATATTAGTTTTGACTTTTATTCATACATATTCAAATATGACTTAAACAATAGTTAGTATGTTATGTTTCCCTCTTAAAATATATTATTATAACCTTATGTTGACGTTTTAAACATCTGATAAATTCGTGGTACCCTACCAACGACAACAAACTTTCCTAAAGCTCAAGCAAGGTTTTCGATACCGGTTATCCTAGCCTCAAAAGAGTACAGTAAAGATCAGTGTACACGTAGCAGTGAAAGCAGGTATAAAATGAAAAAATAATTTAACCGTTCTGCCCATGACCGAATCAACACCGATATAACTTAAGCCCCAGTCGAGAGATAATATCGATTAAGATTTTTTGTTACTTTTACCAACGCCCAATCCGTTACCCAGCCTCATATTTGAACTGGAAATGCGTTTTGAAAAAAGAAAAAATAATTGAAAGTTACTCAGCGTATGAATAAACTTGTAGATTAGGTACTAGATCCGATTAAACGTGTTCTCTTGTCTTTAATTTACTGTTGTGAAACCAGTGGCGGTGAATACTTTTTCTACCTTACATGGAAAATGATTACAATATTGAATATAATGATGTTGGTTACGAATTTGAATATAGTTGCTCAGAGATCCTGGATAAAATGAAGAGAATACTGAAAGACGTTATTTTTTACTAAAAAATACCATTCATGTAAGAACATGTATGGTTTATGATTTACAGCGATATTTTAAGCTCATTATGAGTGTTCTAACTTCATTATGATCAATAGCTTTCCAAACTGAATTCAAGGCCAAGCTTTTACTAATCTTTCTTCATTGACCCTCTTAAATTTGATTGGATTCAGATACGAACTTCGTGGAGGACGATTAGGTATTGCGGTGCTAAACCTAAGTCTGAAGTCTAAACCAATATCTGAGCCGAGAATTATAACATGTGATTTGTGGATTGCTTATACCTATGTACAACTCCCTTGTTAAAGGACAATCGAATATTCAAAATCATATCTTCACCAACGTCTATACTGATCTCTCCTAAATCATGAACGAGACTCCGACAGAACTGAATATCCAAAAATCTTGAGCGTCTGATCAAGCAATAATGTCAAAAGTTACGTACAGCGCCATCTGCCCGCGAATAGATCAAGAAATATCAAGGTTATGTACAGCGTCATCTGTCCGCGAATAGATCAAGCAATAATGCCGATAATTCTGTCAATACAGATCCCGAGCTTAAAAGTTACAAACAAACAAGCATACATACAAACAAACATATATATACACATAAATACATAAATACAGGTGAAGCTAATATAAAGCGTGTAAAAAAGATTTTAGTGCGACTGTAGACGATACTGTGGAACTTTGTGCTATAGTTCTAGGTGTTTCCTAAAATAATTTTTCACGAAATGATGATAGGATACAAGCAAGGGGCTATAAATCAAATCCTTCATTTTTCTGTTTTACAATTTTATAAGTAATTGTATTGAGAATAGTCAGTAAGAGGTAAATTACAAACTAATACAAATTGCAGACTATTACACTCAAACTATCTAGACACACGAAAACGCATGGATATTGATGAGAATTTGTGCAGCTCTACAAGAATATTTCAAAAGAGACAAAGCACGTTTTGGAATATTTTAAAACAAACTGTTTTTCAGTGGAAAAACAGGAGCAGGATAAAATCATGTGAATACAGGGTTAACCTATCTGTGTCGCGACAAAAATATCTATTCTCAATAGAAAATGAGTGAAATGAAGGTTTTGTGTATAATGAGCTGTTATAACTTGCATTGGTTTTAGAAATAAACTAAAATAAATATTAACCTGGTTCAACACAATAAAAATCATTTTAATCTGTCTAATATGCCGCAATGGCAGAGATTATAGTGATTCCCCAGATTTTCTGGGTCTTTTTTACGAATAAACAACGACAATTTTATTTTGAAGAAGTGACATCAAATATCGTATACTGAATGTGGAGATGCCGTTCTTGATTTGGTCAAGTGGTTGTTGGTAAATTTTTTGTTTATAAAAATAGGTCAAGGTCATTTCGGAAACCGATAATGCAGTTTACTCAGTCATTAACAAATCAGCACAGCAGGCAATGCAGCCATCTGTTAAATTTAAAGAAGTTCTGATGTCATTCCACAGAATACACAAACAAAATAACTGAAATGTTATCGATAAATGTAAAAAAACTTGGCAGAAACCAGTGAAAATAGGGTTAATGCTATTATAAATATACAGTGAATGTGTTTTGATTGGGCACTTCTAAGTATTCATTTGTTTTTTATTGTTTTTTGGATAGTAGAATTCTGCTGAGGATAATATGTTTATGCAATGTAGTGTGTTATAATTTAAAAATATATAAAGCTGCTGATAGATTTTTGAGTTTAACTATAACACTATTCTTCAAATATACTGAAATGTTCAATTCATATCTAATTATGTTATTATGAGTTAGTGAAAACATCATTATTCTGAATAGACCTTGAACTTTCACAAGCATCAATTTTTTATTGAATGTCAATGTCATTATATGTAAATATTGTTTTTTTTTTGACCTGCGACATGCATTTTTTCAGTACAGAAATTATAATATTCGTTTCAATATTTTTTCGATTTGGAATTAATGAACTAGAATTAAAAAAAAATATTTCAGTATAGAAACGATCACTTTTAAACAATTACGAGTGTTCGCAATCATTTAAGAGTAACTGAAATTGTAATTTTCACCGAACTTCCCACAAAATCTCTATACAGTTTTGAAACTAGCAATGAGCTATAACTTTGTGTAAATATATCGCAAAAACGTTTTTATATTCTGGATGATCCTGATCGTCGACTTTTGTCGAGTTTTGTGAGGTGTTCAGCAAGAAATTGACCAATCCCAAACCTATTATACAATTGCATGTTTTTCAGACGAAAGTTTTTTCATGTTGAATGGTGAAGTGAATATACATAATTGTCATTACTGGAGCGATGTGAATCCTCATTTGGTGATGGAAACACATTCACAAATTTCACATTCTGGGCCGGCATTCTTGGTAATCATATTGTTGGACCATTTTTCATTGAAGGTATTTTCATTGGAGACACATACTCAAATCTATTACAAGACTATTACAAGAAATGAAATAACATTCCAACAGGTTGGTGTACCCCCACATTTTTATGTTCGGGTGAGAATGTTTTTGGACGAACGTTTTCCAATACATTTGATCGGCAGAAGGGGTCCAGTGGAGTGGCCAGCTAGATCACCTGATCTCAAACCGATGTAGTTCTTTCTGTAGGAACACCTGAAGTCGAAAGTGTACTCCACTAAGCCTACAAATGTAGAAGACCGGCGACAGATAATTGTTCGAGAATGCCGATGGCTAACTCCGGACATCTTGAATAATGTACGGAACGCTTTCGAGAGTAAACTGTATAATTGTATGGAACTAGGTGAAGGTCATTTTGAACAATTTTTCCGTTAATTGTGTCTACAATGATATTATTTGTTGTTGATTTCCTCATTAAAATGAACGACAGCGAATTTTCAGTTTTTTCTTAAATAGAACGTTCAACATTTAGTTTCTCAATAACAAATAAACCAATTTCGAAAAAAATTACAGAAGTAATATAGAACCAAAAGACTTTTCACATGATGTATCACTCGACCCCCCCCATGACATTGAAAAAAATAGGAGGGTAGTTGCTGACCGCAGTAAATGAATTGAGTTGTTAATTTTACGAGTGACTACGAAACCCAAATAGATGTAACAATATTTCACTCACCTGTACATATTCAAATGCCCCAGTCCTAATTACAATTTCATCACAGTTCCTTATTTGAATTAGTAGACTAGAAGAGTTAATGTTATAAAAAGATTTTTTCTCCATCACAATTTTGCCAGCTCGTTTTATTTCTATCAACGTCAGTCCTGGCAGGGCGTTAAACGTTTTGGCCGCGAAAATTATCTCTTCGCCGCCGGTGATATATATTTCCAAAGCCTCCTTTGGAATGGTCGTTTCCTCAAAGTTCACCAACTGAAACAAAAAATTAAATGAAATATAGAAAATTCTGTGGGTATTGAAGTTAAAAAAATGCTTGGGAAAGCAAAAATTGTGTTTTTCAATGTTTGCGATGTCAAAAAACACAGCAGTTATTTGTTATTTTAAACAATAGCACAAAAATCTTCAATGTACGTTTCCTAAAAGACAGTTCAGAATTCTAGTCATTTTTCTGCATAGTTCTTATAATTCAATTGTTAGTATGAGACAGTCTGGAATCAAACTTCCGCACCGCTAACTCGGATCTGTTTCCATAATAATCTTGTTTTTTTACAAAATAGTGTGTGAAATTTATAAATGCGTTCTACAGGGTGTTCCTTAAACACATGCTAACATTTAAGGAGGTAATTCTT